CGGCTCTGGCCTCAGCATGGAAATGTTTCTGTTGAGCGCCGCACTACCCTTCGCCAGCTGCCTTACCTCAAACTGTAAACAAATGGGGAGAGGGAGGAGGGAGCCTGCTGGCATTTATCAGAGCACGCTGTCAGGGAGATGAATTACCCCTGCTCCCAGGAGTAAATTAGTGAACTGCCCGGTTCCAGGCCTCTTTGGCACCGCTGCTGGAAACCAGCTAACCCTTTTGAAGGTTCAGTGAGTCTGAAACCACAAAACCAGTGCAAAAGGCCAAGAAGAAACATATTATCAATAAAACTAATCCAGAGACTTCGGTCTCCTTCAACCAACACAGATTCCTCAGCCCACCTAAGCAAAGCCTGAGACACAAGCCCAGCAAGCCAAGACACGGATTTCCAGGCACCTCCACTTGAATCCGTGCAGCAACCCTCCACACCTGCCTGGGGATAGAGAATCTGTTGCCATTCACACAAAAAAATTCACTGTACAGGTCTCTTAGCAGGCAGAAAAGCTACTTAGGAACTGCAGAATTAGTTCAGATCCCCCCCATGCTGTCCCCATCTCATCAAGCCACAGCAATGGCTGAGAAGGAGCTTGGCTCCAAGGTATAGCCCAGAACAGCAGAAAAAGAGGAATGGTTGAAGGGCTCCTACTCTGTAGCTTTCTGCCAGGAAAATGACCGAACAGAGATGAAATTTTCCACTTATTCACAGGCACAAGATACAAATATGATCTGATGTGACAGCTACACTCACTGCGTATGAGAAGAGAGCTGTTAAATGGGCTTGAATGGTGCTGAGAGAAGCTGGAACAAACTCTCTCAGGGCTATTGATCATCACAAACCGTAGCAGGAAACTCTTCTGAGGAACAAAAACTTTCAGCGATGGTTACTAGTGGATTCAATGATCTTAGGGGTCTTTTCCAACCTAAATGATTCTATACTAAGGGACCTAATTTTGTGTGTGCAAGAGGAGGAGAACATGGGATATCATTTAATTGTATTTTTTGCCTTGTAAGATTATACTTAGCATGGAACGTCACACAGATCCACAGGCACCAGCATAAACTATTCTGTATAGGTTCAAAAATATATTAAATAAAGTACTGACAAAGCAGCTATTCCAGTAGCCCCACAGAAAGTGTCATGCCTAGATGCAGGAGCAGAGCTGGATCTCTCCTATGCAGCAGTAACCGCTGGACGGGCTTTCTCTGAGGCAGAACAGGAGGAAGCACTACAAACCTGAAAAATTCCCCTCCACGGAGGCTGCGAGCAGGGTGGACCTGCAGGGACGGCTTTGGAGAAGTCAATCTTCTGCACACGCCAGGGCACAGAGCTGCTCTTTGTGTGCAGCAATCGCTGATTAAAACGCTGACGAGCTCTTGACTGGTGAGAAACACCATGCTGGGGTAAGAACCTACGGGCTCACGGCATCCTAAAGGCTCGGTCTCCCTCCTTAACCTACCTTTCCGCTCTCCTTTTAAGAACAAGAGTAGGAAAAATCAGATGATTCAGACGATTCAAATTCCTGGGGCTGTGAATAGGTTGTGGGCACCTGGATCACAGGGGAAAAATTACCTTCCCTCTAGGGGCAGGAAACTCTAACAGCACATCCAAACTAGAGCACGGCTTCCAGCAGAGAACAGGCTGGGAATGGCTGGTCCTTGCTTTATGATCTCAGAGGAAACTAAACTGTGGAAATACTCACGGATCTCTAAGAGACACAGATGCCTGCTCATTTGCTGGGTATACCCAAAAGGCAGAAAGGAAGGAGGAGATTCCTACCTGCTAAAACTCGAATTAGTCAACCTAAAAAATGCCGTTATAGAAGAAGGAAGGGAAGATCCATCTTTTGGCCTTTCTCATAGATCTATTCTGGTGCAGTGCTGTCCCAGGAGAACTAAGCGATCTTCCATTTAGAAAGAGATGTAGGTTCAGCGTGCACAGGCTCTCCTAGAGCTACCTGGCCTCGAACCCACCGCAAAGGAGGAGGAGTCCACTGAGGTAGTGTCTAACTAAAAATTAATCGATCAACCCTTGACCTTAACCCTTAATTCTGGTCAAATCCAGCACCACAACAAACTGCACGTGGGTTCCCAAAATCTACATGAAGTCAGTTAAAAGGAATTTACTCATTACACAACGGGATGATGACCTAAATGCCACAGAAGTAGGTTTGCTCTGGCTTTCGCCCTAAACCCTAAAAGCAGGTATTAGGCAAGTGATCCCAAGCACAGATCCAAAGAACATGGCAGAGCAGGGCTGGGTTTGCAGAAGTTAAAAGCTGTGGTTTGCAGCACTCCATCAACGTCTCTGTGCCCAGCAGAAAATATTGTGTAGTTTGCCTCTGCCAGTCTGCCGGTATGATACCGGGGTGCACGGCAAATCTCTGGAACAGGGACTGTAACACCTGCAAACAGTCCGTGACAAGCTGAAAGAGTTGTGATGTATTTCAGATGAGGGACCGTTTACCCAGCGCAGGTAAACAGTGAGATGGAGGGAAAAGGGGGACTCATTACGTCAAAGAGAAAAGCAAGGCCGTGCGAAAGGTCTGCTCCTACGATGCGCAGAGCTCTTCGGACCCTGCTGACTACACAAGGTGCATTTGTGCTTCTGCCACATAGTGAAAGCCCTGCGGAGATTGATGGTGGAAGAGAGGCCACTCCAGGGACTGACAGGCTGTGACCAAGTGTTGCCCGAGTTAGAGAAGCGGGGTTCGCTTCTCCGGGTGCCTCGACTTCTCAGAACTCGTATGACATAGGGCAAAGATACTGATGCTCACAGTTGGAAGCGGTACTGGCCCAAATCCAGAGTCTGGGAGAAGCAAGAACAGCAGCAAAAGCCGAAGGTGGCTTTGTCAGGTGGGAAAACGGCAGCGTCGCAGCTGCCCAGCGATGCCCAGGCCCTGGTTGAAAACCAAGCGATAGAGATGACGTGTCCAGACAGCGCTCGGAGGAGGTGGGAGCCGACTGCGAACACTGCCCTGGGCGGGAAAGCAGGGACCCGGGATTGGGGACTGCGGCGTGTGCGTGCTGAGCGAGAGATTCCTGTCCTGCAATCTACAGAAAAGCAAACTGACGGTGGAGAGCAGGGGCAGGGCTGCAGGACCGGACTTCGGAGCCGCTCACAAGTTCCCAGAAGTAGCCCGCACGTCAACACAACACATGATGGGAAAACGGTTTGGCAAAGGGAGCCCCTTGGGAAGGGTGCCAAGCCACGGCACCCTAAAGGAAAGCTTTCATGCCATAGGGGAAACACTGAAAGTTGAAGCAGAGGAGATGTGCACTTCAGCAGACTGCCAAATACACTGGAAAGGGGGATCCAAAGCTGCACCGTGGGTTTAAAACTACCAGACAGACAAACACTGCAGGGAACTGCCTAAACTACACAGTCCCAATGTATAAAGCAGTGGAGAAAATGACCAGGGAGGGAAGAGGAGCAAAGCCCAGTGGGTAGCACAGAGCGTGCCGCTGCTGGTGAAGGATGCAGCCTATCCTTTCAGGGTAGAAATCCCACATTGTCGTGTTATTCCTTTCCCTTATTTTCCTTCCCCCAACGGGAATAGGTCAATCGGGGTGTTGATATTCCACCTGAAGGTGGGAGATGCTTCCTTTACGGAAACAGTTTAGTAAAACAGAAGTAACCACCTCCCCAGATTACCCCTCTCCTGCTGTGGTTGGGGAAACAGCCACAAACACGGTCTTTGCAAGTGACAGGATGTCACCGAAGAAGTAACCGACTCCAACAGCCACTTCTCCGCAGGGGAACGACCCATAGCACGCCCCAGTCACCGCCAGGTCTGCGTTAAAGATGACACAAGGACTAGGGCTGGGCTGAGCAGGAGATCTGTGTGCAGGAGGGCTGGGGCTTGCAGCGGCAGCTTCCCTGCACGTCACAGACCCTACTCTGCCTCCATGATTGGCCTCGCCTGGTGTCCTTGGCTCCCATCCTGAGCACCATCCAGGCAAGGTCTGATAATAGTCTTGGGTTATTTGGTATCGCAGACAATAGAGCACCCCCTCCTGTGTCCCCCAAGAGGACCCCTACCAGCCACCGGCTGTGCAGAAAGAGGAGGAGGGGAAATGGGGGGGTTCGTTTGCTCAGCAAGCAGTTCCTGGAACCCAGCCTGCTGCTTGCCAGCTCTCTGTCACCTCCAAGGAATGCAGGGAGGATCCAGAGCGGTTTCCTCCTGAGCACTCCTCTTTCCCTGTGCAGCTTGTCCACACACTGCCTCCACCCTCCTCTGCTCCAGCCTCTCCTTCCAGCTCCCAGCCCACCTTCCCACCCAGCCACTCTCTGCTCCCCCAACTGCCTCGGCCACCCCAGCTTTCCTCTCCACCCACTCCCCTTGCCTCTCTGCCACCTCACGGCCCCTCCTGGCTTCCCAGCTTTCCTCAACCCCTTCCATCTTCCTTTCTTTCTCTCCTCCTTTCCTCCTCTGCCCATCAACCACTCCCACTCCTCCTCCTCAGGCTCCTTTTCATGCTGCTCTCAAGCTGTGCTGAAGTAGCTCTAGATTGCCTCCAGTCATCCATGCTATGCACTGCCTAGTAAATCCTAACACTTATTTTAAAATCCAGGACCTTGGTAAGCCTGGGCAGCAGGAAAGGGCGCTGCTGGTCCAAACCATGCTCAGGGCAAGGCTGCATGTGCCAATACAACCTTCCACGGCAGACCAAGGTCTGAGTGGCTGCTGAACTGCCACCAAAGCTGCTGAACTGCCTTCTGCTGGCTCCTACAGAGCCAGCCCCATCTCCTAATCCTCCACCAGCCCTGCAGAAGTGCAGAGAAGTAACTTTCCCAATGGCAAAGGTACAGTGGGGAGAGTATCTCCACCACAGTGCAGGCAAGCAGAGATCAGCAGGTGATAGGAGAGGGCGAGGGGGAGCCCAGGGAGATCCTTGTCCCATCTCGTGAGTATGATCCCCCCAACCCCAGTCCTTTGCCACCGATACAGGAAAGGTGAATCTGACTTTCTCCAAAGGTGGGTGAATTACTCACAGTTCTTTGTAGTTGGCATCATACAGAGTTGCCCACTTGTTCTGTTGATGTGGCTGCCACTTTATGGACTGGTAGTTGGGATCCAGGTAGGAGCCATTCAAGCTGTCGTTATCTTGAATCAGGCCTGTGGCGAGGGGAAAATACCTATTGCAATCACTCCGACAGTGTCCAGCTGGCTAAGAGAACAAGGAAGGGACTGGCACTGTCTGTGCAGCCAGCCTGAAGCTTGCCTCCTGACTGCCAGGGCACTGCCACGGGCACGAGATCTGGGCCAGGATGAACTCACCGCCCTGCTCTCCTCCTGGGGGCCCAGCCGGGGCGAGCCCCACTGGTTGGCACCCTGCGGTGCCCACGTGCCCTCCCTCCCAAGCACCCTGGCCCAGCGGGGTGCCCGGGCTGGCAGCAGGGGTTTGCATGCTGGGGGTATTAAGGGAAGGGGGACGGGGGCAAAAACCACATACCTGGTGAGAGCGCTCCCGGCTGGTGCCAGGGAGGCGTTTGGACTCTGTCAGGGTTGAGTGGCACGGACCCCATACCTGGCTCCTGCTTTATCAGCCCGTTGAGCATCTGTGCATTGAGGGTGTTGGGGGGCGACTCGGAGTGTTTCCGCTTCTTGGCAGGGTGCACCGGGAGGCTGCAGAGACCCGCGGGAAAGCAAAGGCTGAGCAGGAAAGCAAGAGGTGGGGAGGTAACAGCCCCACGGCCCGCGACCGGGAAAAAGCTGGGATCTCACATAAAAACCAACACCTTCATGCAGGGAGCCGCAGGCTCTTTCAGCACTATCACCACCTTCTCCCACAAGGCTCTGCCCACCCACCCCGTGACTGCCAAGCTCTGTGCCATCCGTGCACTGAGCCACATCTTTGCTTTCCTCTTGTCTGTCCCCACCACCCAACTCCAAGCCATGCGCTGCAAACCCCCGCCCCACGATGCCTCCCCAGCTCGCTCCCGCAGAACCAGGGCACGCTCCTTCACTTGCAGTTAAACCCAGTAATTTTGCTCATGCATTCTGCAATCCTCCAGCTCCCGTTCCCTCATCCCCCCTTCCCCAAATCGCACAAATAACACTGAAAAGCCCCAGCTCCCTGAGGCCTTACTCTGCTCCATGTTGCTGGAGTAGCTGGTGCAGCATCTGCGACTGCTGGGCATGGTGGAGGTCGGCAGGCGCCATGCCCTGCCCGATGCCGTACGGCGGCATCAGGGGCTCAGCCTTCATGTACATGTCTCGCTGCAGGCTGGCGTAGTGAGGGTTGTGCTGCTGCTGGTGCGGGTGAGGGGGCGGCGGCGGGGGACCCTGAAGGTGGGGTGGTGGAGGTGGAGGCGGCGGAGGAGGGTGCTCCAGGCGAGAAGGGGGAGTCATGTGGCACATGTTTTCGGGGGTCATGGTCCGGAGGAGATGAGGATCTTGAAAGAGAGAAAGAGTCGTAGCTGTTAGACCAGCAGGCAGGGCCGTGCGCTGTGTGTCCTAAGCCCAGGTCCAGCACAGACACAGCACTCCTCTCCCCCTGAACCATCCCAGTCCTGGTTATCTCCATGAACCCATACCTCCCTGCCTCTTCCGCCTAGCCTCAGCACGGCCGTGTCCCCTCAGCCACCCCATCTGCCTTGCAAGGGCCACCTTGCCCTGCACCGACTTCTCCTCCCAGGTTCCTTAATGGCCTCAGCATCCCACAGACACCTCCTGGGTTCCCCAGCATGAGAACCAGAGCAGTGCTTCCTTTCTCATGCCAGCAGCCTCGGCTGTCAACTTCAGACACAGTCTGTCCAAGCGGTATCTACAGAGCAAGGACACAGCAGGGTCCCGGCTGGCCAGCTGATAAAGGGACACACAACACTACGAAACCAGGTGTCTTGTACCGTACATCTTCCGAGAAGAGGTGAGACAAAGGAAGCAGGCAAAGGCCCAGCATCTCGAAGCTCAAAGAACCAAAACTCAAAGGGCAACCGGGTCCTCAGGCTGAGGGACAACAGGGAAGATTCCCACAAACATTCCTGGTATTTGCTTAAACCTAGGTTATCTCGTGTGGATGCTCTGCAGTGAAAGCATGTCTTTAGGGATTCCCAGGCAGCTTTTGTGTTAGCTTTGTATTTCCCCTCAAATAGAAAATCCATCAACGACAATATTCCTGTAGCACCAAGGAACTGCATGGACCAGGAAAGCACAGCTGGGGGCAAAGGTCCAACAGCCAGCAGCAGGGTCTGAAGCCTGTGCCTGGAAATGCAGAGCTGGAGAGAAAGCACCTGAACTTTGCCTAATTTTACTGATTCTGGGCATGGCCCAAGGAAAGTGCCCGGCAATTTGCTCTTGTGGTAAAGAAGACCCACTCCATGATGGGTCCTCGTAGCTGTGGGCCACAACACCCTGCCGAGAAACCAGACTCCCACCCGCTGACAGAGCCTTGAGAAGCCAAGGGTGGGATTCATCCCACAGAGCATTGGTCAGCTGAAAGCTCGGGGTCCCAGCTCGGTGCGTCGCCCGGTCTCCTCTATAGTCCCAGCAGAGAGATGTCCCAAGGGTGCCCACACCCAGCTTGGGCCAGAGGCACCAAAGGCGGCTTGTCACTGCGTTAGAGTACTACCGCGCAAGGACACTTGCTGTGCTCTTCTCCAACGAGAGCAGAGACAGGCACGGGAACAACCAGAGAAAAGAAGAGACAACTGAATGCCCTGAACACCTCCAGCTCATCAGCATCACCAGTGAGGACTTCTGTGGGGGCACTTGCTTGGTCCTTTTAAATTGAAACCAGAAGGAGACTTTGATCTCTAAATTTAAATAAACAAAAAGGGACATTCAAATGTGATCCTACCTTTCTCCTCCTCTATTTGGAATTGGATACTAAAGCCATGCCATGACTAGGGTCGATGTGGCTATATCACGATCAAAAGAAATGCTTGGTGTGTGGAGGGGCATGCAAATCCATCTCCCCTTCTGCAGCTGCTTAGGCCTCCAGCTAGCCATAAGCTCGCTGCACAGCAATGCCAGTGCTCAGCTGAGGGCTTTAACTAGAACCAAAACATTTTTGGAGGCTAAGAGCAAAAAGTAAAGCGCGTAAAGCAAAGCAACGTGGTTGAATCTCACCCAGCATACCCAGAGAATGACTAGAAACGAGTGATTTGACCAAAGGAAATAATATGAATAATTCTACTAAAGAAAAATACACACGTCGGTGCGAAAGTTGGTGTGCTGGCAAGACTTGAACAGGCTCAGCGCTCACCTCAGACGGAGCAGACCACGGTTTTTGTGTTCTCTGAACTCAGGTGTTTGTATGACACTGCCTACAGCACCGAAGGACTGGTCACGCTAGCGACCGCACCGGTGAAGTTTTAACATCAGTCTCCTCAGAACTCAGCCATAAAGACAGGATTAAGCGCCTGCTCCAAACTTTCTGGGAATAGTCAGTGTTGGCATCATTGCAGCAGCTTATTTTTATGTTTTAATGCACCCTAAAAAAAAGTGAGCTCGTGCCATGAGCAAGTGGAAGGCAAAGATCTGAGTCTGATGAATTGCAATGATCTCTTATTCCAGCTTCTCTAGTCTCACTGCAGAAGCTGTAAAGAGGGGACAGAAACTGTAAAGAGAAGAAACTTTTCACCCGGAACATGTTTCTTTAGCAAAATCAAACCTTTCCACAGCTAGATTCTGCAAGTGAAGAATCGTAGTGAAAAAAATACAGGAAAACTAAAAGAATGATCACCAACTTTAGCGCAAGACACACGAGAGGTGAGCTGACAAAGACTGTGAGCAGATCTACCTAAGACAATCTGTGCACAGAAAAATCTCAATACTCGAGATTTTACATGTGAGAGAAACTTTTCAGAACAGCGCACGCCGAAGCTGTCATGCTGAGAAAAATATGACCTGAAAGAATCTGCAAATTTCCCATGAAAATCTCCCAGGAAAACGTGAGTGAACATCCTGGATGTAGATGAGTGGGAATCTGAGGCCTTAACAGGCAGCTCCTGGAGAAGTGGGTAACAGTAGCCTCGTGTGGAAGTTCAACATTTCTCCCACGTGGAAGTCCTTCCCTCCCATCCTAGCATTAAAACAGAAGATCTCAATACCACTCCCAAAGCCTGTACTTGCTAAGGAGGCTGACGGCACGGTCCTTTAAATAACAGCAAAAAGATCAGCTAAACTCACGTTACCCTCCCGAGACCTCCCCGGAATCCAGCGCACCGAATCTGTGCCGACAAAGCACGCTCAGACAGGTTTGGTCAAAAACCTGCTAGCAAGCCAGGTGCCGGTGCCCAGCTGAAGCACATCCCCTAAGAGAAACTGGGACTGAAAGGCCCAGGTAGTCACAAAACGTGCAGCTGGGCCGCTGCCTCAGAACAGGAGCTCTTGGCTGGGTTCCCCTGCCTGTGGGAAACGCGCAGCCTGGTCCTCAGCCCCACGGAACAAGCCTCCACCAACCTCTTCTCCAACAGGACAAAGCATATCTGTTTTCCCAGCCTTTGCCTGACGGCTGGAGGCGCGTCCGCATTAGCCTGCGCCTTCAGGCGTCCCCACAGGGCACCAAGGTCCCCGCAGAAATGAGGGACTGACTCCTGGGGCGTTTGGCCCTGGGGTATAAGGAAACCAAGGGGTGGGAAGGGACGGTGACTTTGCAGGTGTTTTAAGTGCAAGACAAAGCTGCTTTGCACCCCGCTGTCGACATCTGGTTAAGCTAAGCACCAGCAAATTGCAGGAGGGAGAAAAAACACATCCAGGGACTGTCCAAGCTCGCTACAGGCTATGGGGACATGGAGGGGGATAGCAGGGAAGAGATCCGCTGGGTCTTTGCCAGGCTGTTCCCCTAAGCAGGTGCCACCAGCCAGCCTTGAGCCAGACACTGGGCTGGATGGACTTTGGTCTCAGAACAACCAGTCAGTGGTTGACTAATGAGGCCAAAGCACTTGACCAGGAATCAGAAAACTCCTCCCGCTGCAAGGTCTGAGAAAAGCGAAATGTATTTACGCTGAGCCCTCCTACCGAAGGCTGGCGGGGCAGGGCCGCTTCCACCCATTCTGCCCCCTTCGAAGGCTTTCTGCTACCCGCCAAGATCTCTCAGTGCCCTTTACCAGCACACATCGACCTGGATTCCTCTGCCCATGCTCACAGCCAGAGTCCTGCTCCTGGGCCAGCCTGCCTTCTGGAGCTGTCTCAGGGACAGCCTAGCCAAGCACTAGGGCTCCAGGGAGGAGGGGAGGTCTCCATCCTCAGGAATCTGGAGATCAGGACCAAAAAGCAGCCTTGTTTTCATGCAATGGCCGGGGCTGACAGGTGACGTCCCTGAGATAGAGTATCTCTCTGCTTTTCAGCTGGGTAGTGATGATACTGGGAATGACATCCCCCTTACCCATCTCTGCTCCTGCCATCCTGACAAGCACTCGACTTCCACCTGCGTAACTTGGAGCAAAGACTAGCACGGCTCAACAACGCAGCCGGCCAGGCGGCTTTGGCACCGCTCAGCCCAGCTGGTGGATACAGCTTCCAACAGCCCCAGAACAACCTTCGGAGACCAAGCCCATGCAGAAGGACAGCCGCTTCAGGGCTGGGAGAGGAGCCTTGCGTCCTCCCCTGCAAAACACTGCAAGAAAGGCGTCTTTACATCATCTTAAGTGAATGTCCTGACCCTGCAGCATGGTCAACCTTGGCGCTGGCGGCTCGGGTACAAGCTGGGAGATCTTGTGCAGCTTTCAAGGGACAACCCATGCGCGAGTGTCCGAGAACACGCCCCCGCAGGAGGCACTGCATCTTCACCGTGTCCACAGCACATCGCAATTCCCACAGGCTTCTAACCAGGGTGGGGACAGGGGCCGATGCATTTGCCAAACACAGGACCCACGCTCTGTGCTCCCAGCTCCAGGGAAAAACCAGGACTGGGAATCTGATCCTTCCCTCGCGAGGAAGGAGCTGCTTTGCGGGTGCTCTCCGGAGTCTCCTCTCCCCTCCAAGCAGAGGTGCTGCTGCTCTGCCAGCACGTCAAAGCAGCTCTCCCCGTGGTGAGCAACCCGGCCTCTTTGTTATATTTAAGGAAGGGCCAGGAGGAATTCCAGGGATTTTTTTTAGCAAGATAAACAGAACTCTTGACCTCTTCCATCAAAAAAAAAAAAAAAGAGCAGGCGCTGTTCCTGGTGGGGACTGGGCTGGAGTCTGGGGAAGAGGGTGCTGCTGCCGAGGGGGAAGGGAGACCAGAAGCAACCTTCCTTCCTCACCAAGGAGTTTCTTCCACCAAAGAGCAGTGAAGGTCACCAGAGGAACCAAATAACGCTCGGTGGCTTCTCCAGGGGGAGCCAGGAGGGCCTGGCAGTGACCCTGCCTGCACCCGGGGGGACCCAGCTCTCTCTGCCCTTTGCAGGGGGAGCAGGAGACCCCCAGGATCAGCTGGCCCCACTGGAGGGGAGGGAAGGGCTGGGAAGGAACTTACTGCTGAGCGGCAGGTTCATTTCTGTCTCCCCAAGCCGGGCTCCATTTCAGGGACGCGCTCACACTCCTTGCCTTTCGCTCACCCGAGGCGGAGGGCAGGACAAGGAGGCTCGCAGGCTTCACATCCCACCCGGCCCGGGGACAAGCCACACCGCCGATCTCTCCCTGTGCAAGTGGATTCCCACCTTGCCTTCTCTCCTGTTCCCTCTCTCGCTTGCTCTCCCCCCTTGCAAAGACTACCAGCAGAACAATAGGCGAAAGTCTAGGGATATTTACTAACTGATAATCTCCCCACGTATTGCAGCCGCCTGTTTTCTCCCGTCTGATAAAGATTTCAGAGCCAACCACTTGCACAGAACAAAGAGGGGGAGGATGTTGGGTTTGGGGTTTGGATTATTATTTTTTTTTTCCCCCCCCTCTCTCTCTTTTAAGCACTTACCATTCACCTGCTGAGGGGAGTAGGCTTCTGATCCAGAGTCCGGGGGTGAGTCAGGTAAAGTGCTGCAGAGCAATGGGGAAAGAAAAGGGAAGGTCATTTTAAACCAGCTTCCAGCACAACCGATCGGTCCAGTTTGATCAAAAACTGGTCGGAAATCCCAGCTGCACCCGCAGCAGATCCCCGTCACCCCGAGCGTGTCCAGGAGATGAGCTCGGGACTGCCATAGCTGTCACTGCTACCCCGCTCCCCACAGCGGTTCCCTGGACCTCAGGAGCAGGGACAGACATTTTGTTGACCTGCCAATGAGACCTCCAGTTAAAAGAAGCCAAGCAGAAGTTTATCCGTCCCCCAGAGAAAGACCGTGTGCTTCACCGTGGGTAAATGGGAGGCTCTGGGGGAGCTGGGCTGGGGCCTGGGATCCGATGCACAAAAGCGAAGGCTGGGAAGCCCACGGGATGGATTCTGCCTTGTGACCTGTACGAACCTGAGCACCACCACAGCTGCTGGCTGTATCACCCTGGCTCTACTCCAACATCACCAGGAGCAGGATTTGGCCCTGACTGCAAAACGCAACCAAATAAAAGGGGGAGCTCTCAGCTGCCTTCTCCAGCACACCCACGGCTCGGGGACGGCAGGACTGAGGACCAGCCCTGTCGTGTGCAGTGGCAGCACAGATGCACTGCAGGGAGCTGGTTAGCTCCTGCATCCTTCCTTATTTTACCTCGAGCCAGCACAGACTCCAGGCAGCTGGGCTCTTCAGCCGTTGCCAAAGCACCTCCTTGGAAATTCATTTGAACCAATTTTTCTTTTTTCTTTTCGCAGCCCCTCCTCAACACGCATCCCACTGCAGCAGAAGCTTGGGCCTCACACATCTTCAGGCCAGGGTAAAAATCTCCACCACCCTGGTGCACAAGTAAAGGACTTGCCTGTCTCAGACACTGGTTCTTCTCTAGCAACATTCTGGAGATCAAGTGCACGGAAAAAGTTGAGGCCCTGCTCCCAGCTAGACTGAGCCACGGTCACTGCAAGCCAAAGCTGCAGCAGAGATGGGCAAGGGAGACTGTGGCTCTGGTGGCTGGAGCAGTCGTTGCCCGTGCTCCAGAGAAAGGCTCACTTCACCTTAGTGTTTGCAGTATGCTCCGTCCTGTGGAGATCTTTGGCAGGGAGGTATTTTGTCTGCCCATGCATATCCGCTCCATCGCCGGTGACACACAGCCTCCGCAAGCCCCAGCACCTTGGCAAAGTCTGCTCCATCTAAGACAAAGACGTCTCTTTTCCTCCCCGTCTCCTGACGCCTCGTTCCTCACCACAAGTGGATTTTCAGCGGGGATCCTCTTCCATTCCCCCATCGTACACCGTCAGCTTTGCAGCTGCAAAATACTCCCAGATGAACCAGTGCTTCTGGGATGAAAGCTGGCCAGAAAGCAAACGAGGCCCTTAGGGCTGTGGGGAGGAAAGGTGCCGTACACCACGCACGGGCCTCTCTGAAACTCTGCTCCTGACGGCACCCACAACTACAGCTGCAAACCAGGACACCCACCAGGACCTTCCTGCACCAGAGGAGCCCAAGACCCAGTAAATGGGTTCTGCATGGTAAGTGGTGCACAGCAGTAGCTGGAGAGGATGAGGCAGGGTAACGCCAACGAAGAACCCTCACCGTACTTCCCTCATCCTCCACTTTCACCTGTAGCACCTTTCCACCACTCCCCTCCTACGCTTGGTCTGGAGCATCTATCACCAGCCTTACTTCCAGGCTCCTTGCCACGCTGGCCATGACTTCATACTATATTTCCTACGAATTTATCAGGATTTGTGCCTCAGCAAGCCAAATTTTGGCCAGTAACAAAAGGGCCCGGGACAATTCAGGGAATCCTGGAGGCTGGAAAAGGCTTTGCAGCAGAAAGGTGGACACTGCAGAATTCACATAGGGAGGTAGTGTGGATGTGCCCAGTCCAAGGGAAGGGTTTGTTGGTATCCAACACGTGAGACATTGCTCCTCCGGGAAAAGCCTAGTACAACGGGGAAGAGTCATTCCGGGATGCTGAAGAAATGCTGCCATCAAAGCTGACCCAGTTCATCTACATCCAAACCAAGGTCTCCACCTCTAATAGCAAGCCACAATCCTTACTCATGACCTCTCACATCCTGGAGAATGCCAGATGCATGCAGAAGAAAGGGACACGATAAGGCATCACGTCATGCCTTTGGGCATGGTTCCCCCTAAGCTGCACGTAGCCTTCTGGGTACACAGCAAGGGAGAACTCCCCGGTCTGGGAATAAAATAAAGGCAGATTTTGTTTAGCTTGTCTCCTTCTGGAAGATCTTTCCAAGTTCATCCAAAGGGCCAAAGCCATCCCAATGGAGCTGCATTATGGCTGAATCATTGGTTCAGTGTGCTGCAGGCTTCCAAACCTGGGAATCGCCACGCCGTACTTGCTGGCAACACTAGAGGGCACGAGGCAGAGGGAGAAAAGCCAGGGCTTGCAGAGATGAGCAGTCCTGGGGCCGTCCTGGCCTCCTCGTCCCTTACATCCACCATCTCCACTGGAGAAGGCACAGAGATTGGCCGTGCAGAGAGCGCATCAGGGCCACCCATCACCTGTGCTAGAGAGACAGCTTGGACCATGGCACAGCTCCTCGTGGTATGACTATTGCCAACTGCCAAGGCCTCCTGCTGATGAATATGCTGCTGCACACCTTGATTTTCATCTGTCCAGCTTCAGATCATCTTCTTGATGTCTCCCCTATGACTGGGGGAGAGCAGCACGGACCGGAGAGGTGCATGAGGAGGAAGAGACCAGACACGTTCTTCCCTTTGGGTCTCCAGGCAGTAAAGCTTTATGCATGCCAGCTCCTACCCCAGACACCACCGTAGAGCCATCCCTCTCAGCGCGCCATGCCTGCCAAAGTGCTCTCTGCTGACATGGTCTCTGTCTGGCCCCTTTGGCCACTGCAGATGGCAGCTGCCACGTGGCTGCGCTCTCCCAGCCTGCCAGGGTCGTTCCCTTCCCATCTGTTCTGGGCAAGGCCATCCCAGAGAGCAGGAACCACATCTTTTCTCCTCTCAGGACTAATTGTCCAGTCGAGCCCATCAGCAATACTAGAACCCGGTCATCCTCTTCCCCTTCACCAGGTCTGCATCCAGAGCTCGTTGCAAAGGAGTACAAATCCAGCTCAGATGCCATCTTTTTCTTCTCTTAAGTGGAGTATCTACAACATCAGGCCAAGGGAAGTACATCTCTCTGCCCAGTTTGGTTAACATCTTCCCCTGGGATAGTCAGGGGAACATCCTGGAGACTGAATTTTGTCTTGTTCAGATTTATTCTGTGTCTCTTCCTTCTTAAAAAAAATACAACGCTACAATATTCTCCCATCACACACTTGTAGATGTGCAGCATAGGTATCCCGGTCACCCAGAGCCGACAGCTCTACCACCACCTGCAGACATGGGGGATGTTACTGATCCTCTCTAACTCGATGCATACAGACAAGATCTACCAAACAACCCTGCAGGAAACTTCAGGACCTACGCTTGTAAAAAAGGCATCTCTCTGTGAAGCAAGGGCTTAATACGGACTGACACGACACTGTGGGACAAACTACACCAACCCTCCAGGCCCCACCAGCCTGGAGGAGCACTTGTCCCACCATTTGCCCTTGTTCTGCCACCCCAACCCCACTTACCCAGGTGCGTAGGAGGCCTTGGGCTCTGATTTGATTGGAGGGACCACGTTGTTTAGGCAGTGGCCACCAAGGTAGCCCTTGGGCACCACCATGCCATTGTTGTTATTGCAGTTGAGGTGAGCACCGTAGCCGGGTCCACAAGGGTTGGCCAGAAGAGGACCATGTCGGATTGGGATCTGGCTGCCCGGGGGAGGAAGGTGGAGGGAACCGCTGGAAGCGGGGTTGGTCACATTGGCGATGGAGCTGGCAAGAGGCGCGTTGATGGTGGTTGAGCTGGAGGGCTGGGGGTGTGCATAGCTGGCTGAAGCAGGGATGTCAGGGAAACAGCTGAGAGAGAGAAGGGGACAACCTCAGCAGAGGGACAGGTAGACGGTACTTTCTGCCCGCCCCTCCCCTCCCCAGCCATGCAGCAATGGGGACGGAGCCGCTCAGGTGCTCTGGGACACCCAGAAAACAGCAAAACAGGCAGCATTGTGGTGGCACCAGCAGGAGCGTACAGGGAGGCAGGTCAGTCACCCGGGTTGGTGGGACTGATGCAACCCCAAGGGCGCAAATTCCACCTGTGGAGCTGTAAAGGCCAGAAGTGCCCAGGACACCAACCTCAAAGCTTGTGAAGACAGCGGGATCTGCTCACCGTGCTTCAGCTTCCAGGCTAGCACAGGGAAGCCGCTTTGTCACGTCAGCCCCAAAGATCCCGCTCCCACCCTGCCGCCCAGATCACCTTGGCTGCTGTCCAGGTCTGCTCCCCCCCTCTTTGCCAGTGTCGGCGCACACAGGGAGACCCTTCCCTTCTCCACACTCGTGCTGCGCTGGGGATTTAATCTTTCACACTGAGCTTCTAGCGCTTGCTTTCCCATCGCTCGAATTAAGGAAAAGTCCTCTGCGGTGGCCTCAGGAGGGGAAAGAGAGGGGACAGAAGAGACTGGGGAAATTCGAAGGCAAGAAGCCGGGAAGAGACAGGAGGAAGAACTTGAAACGAGTAAGGGAGCAAAGAGCAATAAAGGAGGACTCTAGGAGGGACAGAGGCGCAGCCAGGGTGCACGGTGATTTCTAAATGATTCCTTGAATTGCAGGGCTGGAAATTGCTCAACATGTCTCCACAGAAAACAACAGTGAACACTGTTCCTGCTGCGGAGCAAGGGAAGCACTTACATATCTGGTGAGTCCTCCTTGCTGATGTACTCTTCCAGGATGCTAGTGTCGATGTTAGATGGTTCCAGAGCTCCATTAATGTCGTGGCCTGCGAGTGGAGAGGAGGTGGAAGCATGAGGCATGAGAAGGACACGAAAGGCCCTTGTTTCGCAGGTCAGAAACACCACCAGACCTTTGCAGAGTCAAGAAACTGATCTGAGAAGGTCAGCAGATCCTTCAGTCTGAGGACTGCCATCTGTCCATACCCATCTGCATCCCAGTGTAAAAGCAGACAGAGATGGGGCGCGTGGGACAAGCCAGGGTGGTGACACCACCGGGGAAGTTGGACACACAGGCGGGGTTTACCTACAGCAATTCGCAAGCTACGCTCTGGCTGTGGGACACAAGGGCTTCCCGCGGCCAGGCTGAGGACACACGGGAGAAGGGAGATCATGGGGTCAGGCCTGAGCTACGCAAGACACATGGCTCCACAGAGCACGAGAGCCAGGTCTTGCCCAACCACCACCACCAACTTGGCGCTGACGTGGCCTGCCACAGCTTTGTCAGCAAAGCTGCAAGAGCCGCTGGCCTCGCCGGGGCTGATGGAGGGGCTCCCCTTTGCAGGCCATGGGAGAGAGCGATCCCCGCAGAGGCAGGGCTGTAAGCGTGGGATCAGGGGGTGCTCTGGGAAAGCTGGTTGCCTTCCCTTTGAACCCTTGCCTCCGCTTTGCAGAACGCGCTGGAATTTCTCCGCTGCTGCCATGACAGCTCTGGATCAGCTCCCGACCCCGCAGGAGCCCTCCTCCCTCTGCTCTCCTGCACGGGCAAGCGGTGGACTTCCCTCTCCTTTCTCCCGGAGGGCTCCTCCTCCTCCTCTCCTGTTCTGGGGAAGCTGGGCCGGGTTTTGTTGACAGAAAGTGCTTTCTTTATCTGTCTCTCTGAAGTGGGAGTCTGCAGCCCTCTGGGGTCGGTGCCAGCCCTCGGTGCCAAAGACACTGCCAAGAAAGTGGAAGAGAAGGCCCAGCTCCCCCCACCTCCCCGAGCTCAGATAACGAAGACGGCCCTTCCTGAAAGACCCCGCGGCTCCACGTTAAAGCACGTCGTCCCTTGCCCAGGAGAAGACCCTGACCCCTGCCTCCCCCCGCAGACCATGCGCTGGGGAAAAGGTCAGCCGCTGAACCGCAAAACCCAGAGCGGGGGGTTTCAGCCCACCCCCGGCCAATTGCAGCTCTCCCCTCTGCAAATCCCTTTCATACCAAGACAAGCAAATCGGCAGAAATAAATCCAGCTAGGAATTCTGCCAAACGGACAGGGTGTGTGCGCGGACGGAGGGATCTCTCCCTTAGTAACCCTGGCTAGAGGGAAAAAACCTGGGTAGCCGTTCACTTGCGAGACACCTAACCCTTTGTGCACCACGCGCCTCCGCGGCAGCGCCCGGGGACTTGGGGGAGAAGGTGGTGATGTTCTCCCATGCGAACTCTTGCTACGAAAAGATGCATCTGGAGCAGGGACACGTGATGCTGCTGCCAGGCTAGCATCGTGGCGAGAAGAGGACAGGGCAGGCAGAGCCTGCGAGGTCCCGAGCTGTGCCAGCACCTCGTTTATATAGTTGCAGACCCCAGGTCAGCACAGCGGTACTCCTTTGTGACAGCCACGTCCTCTCCTGAAGTTGCAGTGACGTGGTAGCAACCATGCCGTCGTCCTGCTTTGAGTTCCAGTTGACTGGAAGAGCTCTCCGATGGCCAGCACCATGGGTGCTCGTGTCCCTCACTCATCCCCGAGGACCTCTGCTATAGCCTGCTCCCGACACTTCACCACGCGTGGCTCTACCGAGGCACCTCTTCTACAAGCAGCCGCTCCTCGGCCACTGTGACCCCTTAACATCGGCTAAAGCCCTTCTGCCAGGGGGTGAGCGCTCCCCGCTCTCCGCTGCCTCGCTCTTGGCCAAAGAGTCTGCGCTATAAATCACACGATGTTTTTGGCAAACATCCACCACAAAAGCTAGCAGAAAACTTGTCTTCATCCCAAGTCCCAGGGTTGGGACCCAGGTGCAAAGAAGCAAAAAAGGCACTTTATCAATTTTTCTGCCTTTCCACAAGCTACTGAGTCTGTCCAAGAAAAGTTCTCAAGATGTCTGACCCCAGTGGGTTTCCCTCACACCTCCAAATTCCAGGAGCTTCTCCACAGTGGAAGAGGAGCCCAGGACCTCCCCAGAAAGGACAGGAGGCTTTCAACAGCCAGCAGTGCTGCTGGGCTTTCCTATTTCTTTGCTACCTTGTCTTAAAAGTCACCTTCAGGAGCCCTCAGCTGAGACCCAGGCGAAGGGTGAGACAAGCACCGTGACGTGAGAGGTGCGTCAGCTGCGCCGCTGTGGAGCTGTTAGAGATGTGATAACAGCCGTGGCGGGGTCCGGCTGCGCATGTGCGATGGGAAGGGGCTGCCCGCTAAAAATAAAGGATTTTCCTCTGCTTGGGGACAAAGGCACTTGCACCAGCTACGACGAAAACAGGGATGTCAGGGCAGTGGGTCTCGCTGGCAAACCTGCACAAGGAACATCCCACCGCCCGTAGCTTCCACGCAGGCCGGGCTCTTACCAAAAGCCAGCTTAGGTGATTAATTAAAAGCTAATACTTCTCCATAGAGTCACGAGCTCCTAACGACACTAACAACGCTCCTTCCCCCTCCAAAGCGGGGATTAGGAAGAAGCGGGAAGCCACCGAGGAAGGACCCCGGGAAGCTCGACATCCGCATGGCTCTGCATGAGACAGACTCCCACATCTCCTCGTCCCCGCAAAAGAGAGACGGAGGAGCCCAGGGAAGCTCTGAGTTTCCCCACGCTGTCGGCATTTGCCCTCTCACTGTGGGAACAGCAGCAATCCCCACATAGCACCTCCTGTCTAGAGCCCTGTCCCTGCACCAGCGCCTGCCCCAAAGAGCATGCGAGAGCTTTTGTCACCTGTAACCCCTCTGATGTCCCCGAAGCTCAGCAGGATGAATTCTGCCTTCCATCCCAGAGCAGCAAGCTGGGAGAGGTGCCGCAGGCACCCACAGAGCTGCCCAAAGAGGTCTTGCAAACCAGCTTCTTCGTGCTCTCTGCACACAACGAACATCCCAGGGCAGGAGGGTACCAGGACCAAGTAATTCAGCCACTTTTAACACTCTGACCTCCTGTACAGACATGGAGATTCCTCAGGCCAAACTCTTCCGGGACAACCTTCTATTTCACAACTCCTTCAGTTGGTGCCACTACAAAGAAACTCCCAAACCTGCCAGGTCCCTATGTCCTGTCCTCCTCTTGGCCCCCGCATTGCCACCCCGCTCTCACACCATGTCACCCCTCCGTCTGCTCCGCTTTCTAACCCCTCCCTTAGCAAAAGGGTTGAGGAGATCCCCCAAAAAAGTAAACTTTGCCTGAAGAACAAGATGTTAAACCCGCAGCACCCTCCTCGCGAGCAGAGCCGGGCGAGCAGAGGCCCCCGTACGTGTGAGAATGTCAGGAATCCCAATGTTTGGACTGGTTTTCTCTGCCTTCCCCAAACCTCCAAACACGATCGACATCCAAACGGAGGTGTTTCCCACACCGCCGTCTCCTCCCTGCCCCTGCTCCGACAGCGCGGGTCTGCCAGCTCGTCCCTCCTGGCGACACCCTCTCGCCTCAAGAACTTGCTCCCCGTCCCATTTTCAGGTGCTCCGCCGCATCCCGCTTCCCGTCAGAGATGGGCAACGCGGCCACGGGGCTCTGAAAGAGTTAACGGCGTCTGGCCCCCGTGAGTCGTCATATTTACAGGTCTGAGAGATTAAAACCAGAATTTACCTCGAGTGATAGGCTGATAAGTTTATGGTATTTCTATTTATAACAGTCCCTCCCCCACCTATTCTTGCTCTGTTGCCTGTCTTCTAATCACCCATAATCCTGCCTGGGTCACCTGGGGGTGGGAGGAAGGGAGAGAGCTGAAGAACTTCATCCTGGGATCTGCTAATGGGAACCAGATGTGGGAACCTGGAGATGACAATGAGGTCAACCGTTTTCAGGGGCTGGGGAACATCAGCGAAGAGCGGGGGGACACCAATGACGAGGAGGAAGAGAAGAGGCTGTGCCAAGCCCAGAGCCTCCCCGTGGCACTGAAGCCACGTACCGGAGGGTGGATTTTTATTCTGGGTTTCAGGGACCCGCTGGGGGTTTGGAGGTTTGAATTACAAATGAAGCACCGTGCTCTGACCCGAGTGCTGTGAAAGCCAGCGAGAAGAGGACTGCAATGAAGATGAATGAAAAGCCATAGACCCCGGTAAGCCTGCCTGCCGCACATTTCCATTCCCTGCCACCTCAGCCCTGCCTGGTTCCCAAAAGAGACAGGCACAAGTGATGGCCTCCACCATGGGCTGCCCTGAAAGTCCATCTATTTCTCCAAAACACTTGCCTGAAGCGCGGCAGACGTCACCGGCTGTAGCGCTGCCCCGCGTTCGCTTCAGGCAGGACGAGGAGCGCTCCAGCAGCACCGCGGCAGCCAAACCTCTGGCCCCGCTGCCAGCGTGGCCGGGACGGAGGCAAGCGTCTGCGGTCCCAGGGCTTTGGAGGAGCACTGCTGTGCTGCCTTTGAATCGAGCGACACGCTGGGCAGTGCCCGGCGTGCAGCACAGCCAGGAGAGGGAGCAGCCTGCAGGAGATAGTGGCACCGGCCCTTTGCTTTGAAGTCCTTGACCTACAGACGGGCCAGGTCCATTATCCCGCTGTGTGCAAACCTTCACCCGAAACCTGGTGCAAAGGGCACGCGGCTCGCTCAAGTCCATAGCAGGCCGGGGAGCCGTCAGATACAGCACAGCGGAGAGAGGAGGCTCGTGGACGTGGTGCTGGTGGTACAGCACAGGCGGCTGGAGCACGCCGGAGAGCCCATAGCTTTTGGTACGGTCCTTCAGCTGGTCGCTGCAACCAGCAAAGCACATCCACCTGCCCAAGGACACTCCCTACACGAAGCACATTAGGGCAGGGCACTTATGGGGAAACTGAGGCACAGAGCACCCTGGTGACAAAATTACTGCTGAACAGGGAGGCAATAACAAAATATCCAGTGGGGGCACAGTGGAACAGGCCCAGGAGACCCCAGGAGCTCCTGGCTGACGGTCCCACACGGCAAGGTGCAGCATTCCCTCTCCCAGCGGCTCTCCAGCACGCACTGGAGCGGGTGCCGAGCGTTGGTGGGATACGTAGCCGAGCAGGACAAACGCAGCCAGCCTCAGCAAATGCTGCTGGGCACGAAGGCCCACCAGCCATTACCTGGTACGGCACGGCATTACCTGCGAAGCTCAGCAGCGGCACGCCACGCCGGGGCGGCCGGTGCCGCAGTGAGGTGCAGAGCCCCGGCGCAGCCCTGAGCACGTTCCTGCGGCCGTGCTCGAGGGGTTGTGCAATCGGCAGGCCAGGCTGCCGCATCGGCACATTCCCGGGGCCTCATGCTGCTCAGCACCCCCTTCTGCTTCCTCCCCTGTTTATCCTTTGGCGCTGGCGGATTGGCTGCCGGCCTGGCCGAGAGCACGAGGAATCCGTGCCATGGCTGGCTAACCAAACAGCACCTAAGCCCAGGGAGCTGCGGGGCCGGCGCTCGGCTTCAGACCCACTTCCCCATCAGCAGGAGCCCGGCTGGCTCTGCCACACGGGGCGAAGCCCGAAGAGCAACCAGCGTGACAGCCCTGCTCCGCTCCGGTTGGGGATGGCGTCCTTCCCATGCCTGCCCTGCCTGGAGTGGGACATGGCGAGGGGCCGCAACAAAATCCTGTCCCTGCCCAGAGACCTGGGCTGCGCATCCGCCAGCCGGGGAGAGCCAGCCACGGGGACAGAGCTCCTTGCGTAAGGGACAGCGGGACTATCTCCCCATCGCTCCACGTGCCCAACCCTGGGCTGCCCAGAGGGTACGGAGGGGTAGACACATCCCCTACGGCAGGAGGGACCTCGACCCCGCACAGCCCCTGCCTCCCCCCAGACACCAGCCCAGCATTCCTCCTTAATTAATGCTCTTTATTACCTGACTGTAACGATAACCAGTCACTCCCAGCAGAAGTGGCTCCTGTAACCCGAAGTGGGACGCCAAGCCAGACCACTCCCCCATCTCCCCCAAAGCGCTCTCGGGACCACCCCAGAGCGAAGGCCCGGCTGTCCGAGGCACTGAAAGGGGCTCCCAGGCCCCCTCCCTGAACCGCAGCAGGGTTCCTCCATGGGGGGAGCCCCTCCTCACGCCAACCCCTCTATCGTCTTCCTTCGGCCCCTCCAGGACAGCCTGCTGGGGTCTGCACGGGCTGCCAGCGGGGGAAGCTTTTACGTGGTGTCAATGAATGCATCTGCTTGACTTCAGGGGCCTTCACTTGATCTGACGCTGATGGAGCTACGCTGAGCTACACCAGCTGGTTACTCACTCCTAAATACTACCCTCGAGCAGTTTCAGTCGCATTAGGACACCCTTCTCCCGCACACGTGGAAACACAGCACGTGCCCCTTCCCATCACAAAAGGTAGGACCGTCCCAGTCGATGCAGAGGTACAGCCACCACCCTGCGTCCCATCCTGGGGACATTCCCTTGTCAGCCCGTCACCGAGGACAGCCCTGCCCCTCCAAAGCAATGGGGCAGCTCGTGCATCCCCCTTGCACGCCAGAGCAGAAAACCCAAGATCCAAAGTCACACCAGAAACACAGCCAAGGCTGAGCTCTGGGAGTCTGTGGGACAAGATCCCGGGGAAAACACCAAGCTCAGGGCTAAGGAGATGGGGGGTTCATGAGAATTTGGGCATTACCCAGAACGTGTGGGCTCCAGGGAGCCTAATTTGCGTGTCACGTATTTGAAATGAACTAATGAACGGAGCAACTGAGAGGGGCTTTGAACATACACACTCACACACCTTCCCCCCCGCACCTCCTCCATGGAGAGGCTGAGACTGTACCCAGCCCGCCTGTACCTGTCCCCCTCCTCCCTGGCAGCTCTCTTTCACGCTCGGTGAGCTCCCAGACAGCATCCCCGCTCCCACGTCTAACCCCGCTGCAATCCTCTCACTGCTGAGAGGAGAAACTACCGTGTTCCCATGCCGGCTAGGGTGGGATGCAGGGAACGTAGTGCATCAGAAGGAAGGGAGATACGGGACAGGTGGGATTTAGCCAGGACCCCAGATTCACCGTAGCGGGGTAAAAAGCGTTACAGGGTCTCCAGCGGCCAGGAAGACCCTGGAGCAACAACCTGGCTAAACCGTGAACCAGCACCAGTGGCAAAACACTCAGAGTAACGAACCGCGCTGGTAAGAGGTACAAGCAAACCATCGCCAGCCTGTGGCCCAGTGTCCAGAGTCAGTAGCACCATACACACCAGCACCTCCATGTCCCCTGGAAAGCTCCCTTCTGCTCTCACACAGGCCCACAACTCCTTAGCTTACATGCACGGAAGAACATATCTGACAAAAGAGCCTTTGGATAAGCTGGAAAGCGTCCCTAACCATTTAACGTGTCCTGGCTCAGGCCCGCAGCAACCCCCACTCCCATACCTGCTGCGCAGCGTTGCTCCTCCTGACACACTAGCAGGAAGGGGATACGAGCCAGTATATACACCCTGTATAGGTGTACAGAGAGAGAGACAATGCCCTCTCTCCATCTCCCAGGCCTTGGGGAGGACAAGGTGAGTGGAGAGAGACATCCCAAGACAGAATAGGCGTGAGGAGCCAGAGGAAATCATCCAGCTGCGCCACAGCAAGGGCATGGGCATGTCCCTCAGGGAGCCCTGCGGGAAAAGGCGGGCAGCTCCATGCAGAAGAGATGACCGAGCCCCGTCCATCCCTCCCAAACCTTCCTGAGCCCTCCTCTTTCTTCTCCCTCCTTCCCACTGCCCTCTCTGGCCTCTCCGCCAGCCACCACTCGGCACCTTCACCTCTTCCAGCCCCTCTCGAATTTCCCCATCTCCCCTCGTCCCTTCCCTCCCAGCGCCGTTATCCCTCCGGACCCTCCTGAGTCCCTTCTCCTTCCGGCTCTCCACCCTTGTCCTGGCCTCTCCTCCGCCCTTGCCAGCTGTGAACCTTGGCATGGATAGAGCCATTGTCCTCCGGGCATCGGGGCCGAGGAGGAGGAGGGGAAGGTGTGAGAGGGGACACAGTGGAGCATTTGTGTGTGTCCCCACAGCCGTCAATGCCCTGCTTGTCCATTCATGCACTAAGATGGCAGGAACAGCAGCACCCACACAAGCGTCGCCATTTGGCGGGGTCCAAGGTGCCTGCCCAGGGGGGCACATTGCCCTGTTTGTTTGGAGTCCCGCAGAGGCAGAAGACAACGCCTTTATCTCCCTCTCTGGGCCGAGGGCGTTGGAGGGCTGGCGGGGGGGGGGGACACAACAGGACCAGAGAAGGCCACTTCATCTGGCATTTCCCGAGCTCGGGACTGACAGGGATGTACGGCCGCACGAGGCTGACTCTGCCACCCTCGCACCTCCATTCCCCAGCCCAGGAGGAAGACAGGAACGGGGAGAGGCTCTTCAGCACAGCCTCCGGATCCCTTCTGCTGGGGCTCCTTCGTGCTGGTGGGCTCGCCTGTCCCA